AGAGCTGCTCTCCAGCAGGTCCACGCCAAGCCTGTACTGGTGCCTGGGGTTGTTCCTCCCCAGGTGTAGGACCCTGCATTTGCCTTTGTTGAACCTCATCAGGTTCCTCACGCTGGCTGAAAGCTGGCCAAATCCAGGAGCGGCCGTAGCCTCAAATTCTTGCAGCAAAATTAACCTTACACTGTTCTTCGCAGCTTCGCTGTCTCCACCAGCCTGGGCCAGCGGTGCAGAGCGCTGTCACCACTAGCTTGTCACCGCCATAAGCTACAACGAGAGACTGAAAAAACTCAGGGCTTATCAAAAAGCAGCCGGTGACGTGAGTTTACCCTGGATGGAGGCTGTCCTAGCGAGGAGACGCTGGATATCCACACTACTGTCTAGCCAAGAAAGGCACGACGATGACTGGCTGCAAACTGAAGCCAGAGAAATTCAAATAAGAATTGAAGGACAGTATTTTAAAGTGTCAGTAATTATCCATGAGGACAAGCTTCCAAGGAAAGCAGGGGTTTGTGGAGGTTTGGGATCAAGCCCAGCTACATCCCTAAAAGAAATGTCGTAGCTCTAACAGCACACCAAGCATGCTGGAGAGATTCTGTGGCTCAGGACCAGCGATATAGGTTTTTGCAGGGAGTGGGAAAAATATTTTCACTCGTTTTATTTTCTGAGTGATGGGTTGGGGGACATGGGGCCGCTGCAGCCAGCTGAGCTACGGCTGCTGGCTCCAGGATCTGTCAGGGTTTCTTACATTCAGCAACAAAACAACACGCACTGCAAGAAAACCAGTCTCCTACCTTGAAAACTGGGAAACTGTTGCTGCAAGAGTCAGCACGGGGAGAATTCAAAGGCAGGTCGCTCTGTGGAAGCGCAGAGGGAACTTACTTGAAAACTACGGTGGACACTGAGAAGATCTGGACAATTTGGCCTGGGTTCAGCCCCCCCCCCCAGCTGCTCTGTGATGGGAGACAGGTTGCACATTTCCATGAGTTACTGACAGGTACGGGCTCTCTAAATAAACTATTTTATGTCTCATTTCCTCCTTTGTCAAGGCATCTGGCAGTGCTCTGCGTGTGTTTCGTGCAGGGAAAAAAAAAATGCTTCTGTGCAACCCCAAACAAGCATATGTTTAAAGAAACGAGTGTTGCAGCACTTGAGGAGAGGTTTGCACCGTGTGCTAGTGAGCCGTATGTGTTCTGTAACATACAGCACTCCCAGTTTCTTCGCTGCCTTTCACTGGTTGATTCCTGGACACCCCAGGGAGAATTTTGCTGGAGAGCGGCAGGATCTTCACTGCTTCGTCACGGGACGGCAGACGAACACCGACCCTGAATTAGAAAGGACGGCAGATTGCTGCTCGTGTACTTACGTGAAAATACTATTGATTTACACTTCTGTGTAAGCGAAATCAGAATCTTCATTTGCAAGCTACCAGCCTGAATTTAGCAGCCACCGCATAGCAAGTTCTCCACACCTCAGCCACAGCTCAGGCAGCCTCTCAAAGGGATCCGCTCACTACTGCAGGTCCTTAAAGTGTCTGCTGGAGGTGGGCTGATTTCTTTTCTTTGGTCTGCTCGCTCTACCCCACGCGGGTGTGGATCATCGGGATGTAATCATCAGGATGGAGCTGAACAGAAACAAACTGCAGCTCACTTGGATGAGACTGTGTCTGTCTCTCCATCTGGGATTTACGACTCCTCGAGCTGTCGGGAGGAGAGGATCACGGGCTGCCTTTTCCTCTGACGGCAGGGTGAGCAGGAGAATTAGGGCAACAAACTGTTTTCACAGAATCACAGATTGTTCAGGGTCGGAAGGGACCTCTGTGGATCATCCAGTCCAACCCCCTGCCAGAGCAGGGTCACCCAGAGCAGGCTGCACGGGACCTTGTCCAGGTGGGTCTTGAATATCTCCAGAGAAGGAGACTCCACAACCTCCCTG